CCCTCTCCCCCCTCCTGCAGGTGACCATCTGCAGCTCAGGTCTGCAGGCGGTGACACGGGAGCACGGTCTTTCTAATGTATCCCCCTCCCTCTCCCCCCTCCTGCAGGTGACCATCTGCAGCTCAGGTCTGCAGGCGGTGACACGGGAGCACGGTCTTTCTAATGTATCCCCCTCCCTCTCCCCCCTCCTGCAGGTGACCATCTGCAGCTCAGGTCTGCAGGCGGTGACACGGGAGCACGGTCTCACGGAGTACTGGGCACATCGCGTCACGTACTGTACAGCGCACCCCGCCTACCCTAAGGTCTTCTGCTGGGTCTACAGGCACGAGGGGCGGCGCCTCAAGCAGGAGCTGCGGTGTCATGCCGTCCTCTGCTACAGGAACGACAAGGCGCAGGTGCGTCCTGCAGCTTCAATCAACCATATCGCACGTGTATAATGATTCTAATAATTTTATATTATATTAGTAGTATAGCAATAATAGTTGCTAAATGCTTTTCACTCAATAGGAATATTTTAGTTTGTTCTGTTGACTTCGCACATGTATAATAATTTTATATTATATTAGTAGTATAAGAATAGCAGTTACCAAATTCTTTTCACTCCCTATGAACATTTTATTTTCTCCTGTTGACTCATTGCTGTTTTTCACGGATTAACAAAATTTAGCGTTATGTAGTCTACTGATCATTTCAATAATTATTGAATTATTTGATCAATTATGCGTTATATTTTTACACTATTTGGTTGTTGGGTGCAGGTGATGGCGAGCCAGCTGAAGGAGAGGCTGTCGTCAGCCCTGTATGAGTTCCGCAGGGAGAAAGTCATCCGTCAGAACGCGCGCCTCTCCCTCATGCACGCCATCTATGACAACGCCGCCCTGCCTTCTAGGAAGGTGCGTTCCTACGCCCGGTATCAATAGTGTTTAACGTACCTTGTGTTCAGTGGTTAGTATACTTGCTAGTGTTCTCTATGACCTGTCTCTTATACACATCTAGATGTGTATAAGAGACAGCCATGCGCTCACTCANTAATAACTTCGTACAGTATATCAAAGCCAAAGCAGACAATATTGATCGTAATGACTTCACGTTGATAAGTACAATTTATTTTAATCTATAGTCAAAATGAGTTATAATCTATAATGTATTCAGGGACAGAGATATCGAGCGACAATGTCAAGCTTGGATCTGTCTCTTATACACATCCAGATGTGTATAAGAGACAGGTTTTATATTATATTAATAGTATAACAATAGCAGTTAATAAATGTTTCTCAGTTCCTGTGAATATTTTATTATGGTTTGTTGACTTCGCACATGTATAATAATTTTATATTATATTAATACCTATAACAATAGCAGTAGCCAAATGCTTTTCACTCCCTATGAACATTTTATTTTCTCCTGTTGACTCATTGCTGTTTTTCACGGATTATCAAAATTTAGCGTTATGTAGTCTACTGATCATTTCAATAATTATTGAATTATTTGATCAATTATGCGTTATATTTTTACACTATTTGGTTGTTGGGTGCAGGTGATGGCGAGCCAGCTGAAGGAGAGGCTGTCGTCAGCCCTGTATGAGTTCCGTAGGGAGAAAGTCATCCGTCAGAACGCGCGCCTCTCTCTCATGCACGCCATCTATGACAACGCCGCCCTGCCTTCTAGGAAGGTGCGTTCTACTGCCCTGCACTGATAGTGTTGTTAAATTTTCCTTGTGATTTGTTGTTAGTATAGGTGCTAGTGTTCTCTACGACAACGGCGTCCTACCTTCTAGGAAGGAGCGTTCTCATGCTCTGCACCGATAGTGTTGTTAAATTTTCCTTGTGATTTGTTGTTAGTATAGGTGCTAGTGTTCTCTACGACAACGGCGTCCTACCTTCTAGGAAGGTGCGTTCCTACGCCCGGTATCAATAGTGTTTAACGTACCTTGTGTTCAGTG